CCGAGGGCGTTCTTTGGGGAACAGAAATAATCTATTAATGTATCAGCATTGTCCAATAAAAATGTGATTTGAGCCACAAATGCTAGCCAGTTACTTTTAACTTTTTTTTCTTGTAAGTACACTAAAAAAGGGGGAAAAGGTAGAATTAAACTGTACTATATTTAACCCAGTATATGAAAAATATTATATTTATTTCACCATATATTAATAAGACATATGCATTTGCATTTTTAAAAACCAAGTCTTTAAAGTCTTATATTTTACATCTCTGACTTTGGGCCAGCTGTGTTTCAAGGGCTCACTAGCTACCTGTGGCAACTGTACCAGGCAGCACAGCTCAATACTGTTTTGGTAGTAGTTACATAACTGCATGCATTTATCAAAACTCATTGAATTGCAAAAAGATTCATGCACCCCAGTGTTCATAGTAGCACTATGTACAGGAGCCAAGGCATGGGAACAAGCTCACGTCCATGGACAGATGAATGGCTGAAGAAGACGTGGTGTATATGCAACAGAATATTATTCAGCCATAACAAAGAATGAATATTCCATTTGCAGCAACAAAGTAGACCTAAAGATTATCATGTGAAGTGAAGTAAGTCAGAGAAAGGCAAATAATCATATGTTGTCACTTATATGTGGAATCTTAAAAAAAAGATACAAAGGAGCTTATTTATAAAACAGAAATAGACTCGTAGACATAGAAAACCAATTTATGATTACCAAAGGGGAAAGAGGGTGGGGGAGGGATAAATTAAGAGTTAGGGATTAACAGATACACACTACTATATATAAAATAAATAAACAATAAAAGACCTACTGTTTAGCACAGGAAACTATATTCAATATCTTGTAATAACCTATAATGGAAATCTGGAAAAGAAAACATATGTATGTATAGCAGTCACTTTGCTGTATATCTGAAACATTGTAAGTCAACTATATTTCAATAAAAAATAAAAATTAAAAAAAATAATGATTATGAACATTTAAAATAACCCATTGAGTTGTGTACCTAAAAAGGATTACTTTTACTTTATTTAAATTGTGTACCAATTAAAAAGAGAAACATTTTCCTGCTAGCCAGAATGAGCCAAAATAGGTTCCATCCATGAACAACTATAAAACTTCTTTTAAAATACATCTCAGAAATGGAATTTGGCAATTTTTTAAGAATAAAAGTTAACATACATCAGAACCTCCAAGGCTATTAATTTTTTTAGATTTCAGATGTGTGTGTGTTTTCCACTTTGTACCTCAGTTTAGAAAGGGATCGTGAAAATTGAATTAGTACAGTTTAAAAGCAAAGGATTTGCATGTGTTTGACAAAATAAAGATGAACACAAATTGTTTTAAGAAAGACCCAACGCTAATTCTAGGAAAGAGCCTGTCATTTTCTGTTTCATAGCCACTTCTCTTACAATGCTATTAAAACTCACATGTCTTTTCCTTCTGCTTCTGTTATATAACATGCTCTATAGCAACTGTTTTGACCTTGGGTTTGTCGGTCTGCAGGCATTTTGGGGGTGTTGGGGAGATCAAGGGTGAAGCTCATGTACCCACTTGATGTGAGGGAGTGGTGGAGCAGTTGGTTGTGGGGACTAAGTTTAACTTTCATAACTAAAGCCAGGAAATATTTTTGGCTGGGGGAAGATGTGTCACTAGTTATAAATAATGTCATTTGCCTTTTGACAGCTATTTTGGTATTTTCTTTTTACACTTAAAATTCCATGTTTACATTCTGTTGAAGCTTACATTAACCATTTACAAATGAATACTTCTAAGAGAAATAGATGAAAAAGATCTTTTCTAAGTGGTCTTAAAGCCCTGGTATCTGGACCAACAATTGAAAAATAAAATTCATTAGGACTGAAAAATCCATTCCATGAGTGTAGGCTGGGAAGAGACCCTGGTCAGAAATTATTCCACAGTATTTGTTGAGGATAAAGTGTGATTATCATTGTTTTAAAACTTTACAGTTTGAAGAATACATTTACGTTGTGGACCACAGGTTAGGAACAAGATAAGCTCTTGTCATTTCATTTCATTTTAGTTCAGGGATTCATTAAGTGTTGTACTCAAGAAGCAGTTCTAAGCCTGTAGTTAACAAGTGAATCTCATCTGCAGCAGGGGAATTCCAGTGTGCGCTGAGGGAGCAGACCCCGGTGTGTAGAAGTTGCTAATTTAATAGACTAGAAATGGGGCTGAGACCCTGACCTCTCAACCAGCATACACTTGCCAATAGACCCCACCTTGAGAAACACTGATCTGTAACAACCGTTTAGATTTGATTAGGTTTTCTGTTTATATCAGACACTATGCTGAATTCCATTAAAAGGCAGGATCCCAGTAGGAAGGTGCTAACATAGTGTGTAATACAAAGCAACATTCTGAGTGGTCCAGCTGGAATGAAGTGAGAGAGCTCAGAGCAGGAGGGCAGTGCCACCAACAGTGGACTCGAGGGTGTAGGTAGGGTTCAGGTTAGTGGAGGCAAAACTGGGTGTCTGGACACCTTGAGGGAGATAGTGTGGGACCCAAAAGGGAGATGGCCTCACCTGGGGAAGGAGTCTTAACTTAGATGTTGACTATAATTTTGGAGGACTGAGGAAATTGCTGCACGAAATAGAATTATGAAACTTAGGAAGCAAACAGTTGGAGGAAATCTGATTGGTTTTTGTCAGTGGTTCTTAAACTTGAATGTGCATTAGAATCACTGGGAGGACTGGTGAAAGTATAGATTGTTCAGGTCCACTTTCAGTGTTTCTGATTTCGTGGGTCAGGGCTGGAGCCTGAGAATTTTCATTTCTGTTCCCAAGTTTTGCTGATGCTGTCTGGGCTGGTAACCATACCCTGAGACTCGCTGTTCTTCGTGAATTTGGTGTCTTGATTTATCAGTAGTCCACAGATGAGGACTGGAACAAGTTATGGAGGCAAGACAGAAGGGGATGGCTGTCAGCATGTTGTGCCTAGAATGCCTACAAGTAGGCTGTCTTTCCCCGTTTTTCTTCAGAGAGTTCTTTACCCTCAGAGCAAGTGGTCAAACCAGAAATACCCTGGGGTGGGGTTAGGAATGTGGTCATAGAGAAGAATTTGAGAACTATAACCTTATATTCAGCCCAGAATACTTCCAAAACCCTGGTTGAAACTGTATTTGTCAGATTTTATTTTAAATACATGTAAGTATCATACTTGAAGACTAGCATTTACTAGAATATTCACCCACTGCTTTATGAAAATCTCTAAAACTGAACCTATGACCATAACCTCTCAAACTTACTCCTCCTACAGTGTTTTTTATATATGACATCCATCACCTGCCCAGTTTTTTGTACATCATCCAGGATGGTATTCCTTCTCTTTCATACTTTCAGCCTCCATGTAATTATTCCCAAAGTCCCGTCAATTCAGTCTCCCGGTATAGTTTGTCCACTTCTCTTTCATCACTTGATCCATCCACCAGGTCTCACCTGGACCTTCTCACAGTCTCTCTGGCTCCCTGTGGAGCAAGGGAGATTTGTTTTAGGAACACAAATCGTATCAGGTCATCCCCATGCTTAAGACCATTTAGAATCATCCCTCTGGATGTAGGATAATCTCTAAATTCTCAAAATGGCCCACATGACTTGCCGATCGTGGCCCAGGCCAACACCTCCTCATTTTGCATATGAGCATGCTAAATTGCTTAAGTCATGTCTGACTCTTTATAACTCTGTGGACCATAACCCACCAGACTCCTCTGTCCATGGGAATCTCTGGACAAGAACACTAGAGTGGGTTGCCATGCCCTCCTCCAGGTGATCTTCCCAATCCAGGGATGGAACCCGAGTCTCCTGCATTGGCAGGCAGGTTCTTTTCCACTAGTGCTCCCTGCCACTGTTTTTTATTCTCTAAATTCCAGGCACACTGGTATGTCACTTCCTGAACTAAATATGTTTAAAACCACCGCTGTTCACTGCAGTGATCCTAGACTTATACCCAAGGGTACCCATGCAGAAGGTGAATGTGGCACTGGTCTTAGAGAGCTTCTGTGCAGTTAGGAAATGGCTGCCCTCCGGGCTGGAACAGACTGGGGTTCAGCCTCCACTCACTGGGGCAGGGAACCGTGTACAGGACCCAACCTGCACAGCCAGAAGGGTGACCCGACTTGAAGATGTCACTTGGTTTATCTCTAAATTAAAATAAGTCTCTTTGTCCTATTGAGAAGCAGAAAATTGGACAACTTCTGAAAATCCCTGATAGCCCAGTGACTTAGTAATAATTTTAAATATTAAGAAGACTTTTTACCACAAAGCTGTAGAAATTGTTCTTTGCATAATCAGGATGACATGTATGTGTCTTTTCAAGCCAGCATGGTTCTATCTGTGCTGCCTGATTGGAGCCTTGTCTCATAGTTGAAGCTCAGGAGGCACTTTCAATCTAGAATGTAGCTATCTGTTAGCATCTAAGTTTGGAAGTGAATGTGTGATACCCCCAGACTACTGTAGTTTTCCTGTTTGGAGGAAGGCCTCCAACCTGGTGGAGAGGCGCAGCATTCCTTCATACGACGTGTTGGCTCTTGTGAAAGTGACTTGAAATAATTGAGAGCTGGCAGCAGAAGAGATGGGAGGGGACCTAATTCTTGCTGGGCATGAGTCATCTTATTATACCTTTAAATTGATGATTTTATTAAGCAGTTTCATTGTTGGTACAAAACTATTCCTCAATCCTAGATTGCTTTGATGTACGTGTTATGTATCCACATGTCCTCTGTCAGGATCCTAGCGTAGACCTCTCCCTGAACAAACGCTGAAAACATATTATTACCATAACTTTGCCTTTGATTTGGGGGGCAGTTTTGTTTCTTGTGTTTAAAGTCAGTGTTGAATATTCAGGGGAGGTGGTTGTGCATCTTTTTTCAGATTTATGGGAATTCTAAATCTTACTTGAGGAGGAGTATAGGAAAGTATAAAAGAAAAACAACCATGTATACTTGATACTTTTGTAATTTCAAAAGACTTATGGACATTCCCTGCAGACTGTTACTGGGTCTCTCAGGAGGAATAGAATTTGAGTCTGAGAGCAAGCGATTGCTCTGTAAATGTTTGTTATGATACTGCAGTTGCTGAGTATTCTGTATCTAATTGAATTAGTGTATCATGCTCATTACTGGGTCATAAAGGCTGTTGTTGAATGTTGTCACAGAAAAGAGCAGAACATGGCCAGCACATCGTGACCTTAGAAAACTCACTCATATACAGAGGTGTAGCTGGATTTTTCAGGCCTGCTGCATTCTAAACTCTGCCTCCTAGGAAGCCCTGTACCTTGGTAATCCTGTGTCTGCTTACCCTGACCATTGGTCAGTCTGCTCCTGCCACAGTCCAGCATCTCATGCTAGGCCTCACCACTTGAGATAGTTGGCTAAGGCTGCTGTAATAGAGTAAGCCAACTAGACTGGGTGGCTTCAGCAACAGAAATTCATTTTCACAGTTCTGCAGGCTGAAGGTCCAAAATGAGCATGTGGGCACGGTGGGAGTCCTCGGAGCATGGCATCTGTTCCAGGCTTCTCTCCTTGACCCATAGATGACGGTCTTCTCCTTGTGTTTTCCTATCACCTGCCATTATGCATGTCTCTATGTCAAAATTGCCCCTTTTATATGAAGATGTCTGCTTTACTGACTATGCCAAAGCCTTTGACTGTGTGGATCACAATAAACTGTGGAAAATTCTGAAAGAGATGGGAATACCAGACCACCTGACCTGCCTCTTGAGAAACCTGTATGCAGGTCAGGAAGCAACAGTTAGAACTGCACATGGAACAACAGACTGGTTCCAAATAGGAAAAGGTGTACGTCAGGGCTGTATACTGTCACCGTGCTTATTTAACTTATATGCAGAGTACATCATGAGAAACGCTGGGCTGGAGAAAGCACAAGCTGGAATGAAGATTGCCGGGAGAAATATCGATAACCTCAGATATGCAGATGACATCACCCTAATGGTAGAAGGCGAAGAACTAAAGAGCCTCTTGATGAAAGTGAAAGAGGAGAGTGAAAAAGTTGACTTAAAGCTCAACATTCAGAAAACTAAGATCATGGCATCTGGTCCCATCACTTCATGTCAAATAGATGGGGAAACAGTGTCAGACTTTATTTTTGGAGCCTCCAAAATGACTGCAGATGGTGATTGCAGCCATGAAATTAAAAGACGCTTACCCTTGGAAGAAAAGTTATGACAAACCTAGACAGCATATTAAAAAGCAGAGACATCACTTTGTCAACAAAGGTCTGTCTAGTCAAGGCTATGGTTTTCCAGTGGTCATGTATGGATGTGAGAGTTGGACTATAAAGAAAGCTGAGTGCTGAAGAATTGATGTTTTTGAACTGTGGTGTTGGAGAAGACTCTTGAGAGTCCCTTGGACTGCAAGGAGATCCAACCAGTCCATCCTGAAGGAGATCAGTCCTGGGTGTTCATTGGTAGGACTGATGCTGAAGCTGAAACTCCAATACTTTGGCCACCTGATGCGAAGAGCTGACTCATTGGAAAAGACCCTGATGCTGGGAAAGGTTGAGGGCAGGAGGAGAAGGGGACAACAGAGGATGAGATGGTTGGATGGCATCACCAACTCAATGAACATGGGTTTGGGTGAACTCCAGGAGTTGGTGATGGACAGGGAGGCCTGGTGTGCTGCGGTTCATGGGGTCGCAGTGAGTCAGACACAGTTGAGGACTGAACTGAACTGATGAAGATGCCAATCAGAATGGAACAAGACCCACCTGAATGATCCCATTTACCTTCATTATCTCCATAAAGACCTTCTCTCCAAATGAGGTCCGATTCTGAGGTGCTGGGGGCTAGGACTTCAACATAGGAATTTGGGGTAGAAACACTTCAACCCATCCCACCAATAATTATAGCTGAGCCTTGATACAGATGAGCCTCAGAAATCAAGCTATACTTACTTTGGAATCTTCTTTAAATCACCAAAGAAAATCTGTAAATTAGCTGAATTAGCGTTGGTGGTATTGCTTCTGCAGTTAATAATTCTCTCAGTCATTTCATGAGTCATGAGGTCAAAAAGTGTTGGATAAATTAAAACAAATATGAGAGCAGCACTTTTTAGGAGGGGACTTCTGACACACCCTTTTCACCCAAGTCCACCACCAGTAAACTGTCTAACCCATTCCACATTTGCAAAATTTAAAGTCCTGTAACATGTTCATCTGTAGTGTGTTTGTAACCTGACACTTGCCTTAGCTACACTGCTTATGCATAGCCTTTATTTTCCCCATAAGCCTTGTTTAGCTGAGTGGTTTTGACACTCAAACCTCTCCAGTCCTTTGGACTGACTGTGTATTCCAGGAATTTATGGCAGAATTTTCTGGCAGATCATTGTGATAAACTGTGACACATTGTGCAGTTTGCTAATAAAACTACCCATCCCTGCAGGAAGCGGAATTTAGAGCTGGTTAGGGCTTCTCTGATAGCTCAGTTGGGAAAGAATCCGCCTGCAATGCACGAGACCCTAGTTTGATTCCTGGACCAGGAAGATCCCTTGGAGAAGGGATAGGTTACCCACTCCAGTATTCTTGGGCTTCCCTCGTGGCTCAGATGGTAAAGAATCCACCTGCAATGCAGGAGACCTGGGTTTGATCCCTGGGTTTGGGAAGATCCCTGGAGGAGGACATGGCAACCCCTTCCAGTATTCTTGCCTGGAGAATCCTCATGGACAGAGGTGCCTGGAGGGCTGCACTCCAGTTTAGTTCAGTTCAGTTGCTCAGTCGTGTCCGACTCTTTGTAACTCCATTTACTGTAGCATTCCAGGCCTCCCTGTCCATCACCAACTCCCGGAGTTTACTCAAACTCATGTTCATTGAGTTGGTGATGCCATCCAACCATCTTATCATCTGTCATCCCCTTCTCCTCCTGCCTTCAATCTTTCCCAGCATCAGGGTCTTTTCAAATGAGTCAGTTCTTTGCATCAAGTGGCCAAAGTATTGGAGTCCTTCCAGTGAATATTCAGGACTGATTTCCTTTAAGATGGACTGGTTGGATCTCCTTGCAGTCCACGGGACTCTCAAGAGTCTTCTCCAATACCACAGTTCAAAAGCATCAATTCTTTGGTGCTCAGCTTTCTTTACAGTCCAACTCTCACATCCATACATGACTACTGGGAAAACCACAGCCTTGACTAGATGGACTTTTGTTGGCAAAGTACTGTCTCTGCTGTTTAATATGCTTTCTAGGTTGGTTATAACTTTTCTTGCAAGGAGTAAGCATCTTTTAATTTCGTGGCTGCAGTCACCATCTGCAGTGATTTTGGAGCCCCCCAAAATAAAGTCTGACGCTGTTTCCACTGTCTCCCCATCTATTTGACATGAAGTGATGGGACCAGATGCCATGATCTTAGGTGTCTGAATGTTGAGCTTTAAGTCAACTTTTTCACTCTCCTCTTTACTTTCATCAAGAGGCTCTTTAGTTCTTCGCTTTCTGCCATTAGGGTGGTGTCATCTGCATATCTGAGGTTATGGATATTTCTCCCGGCAATCTTGATTCCAACTTGTGCTTCCTCCAGCTCAGCGTTTCTCATGATGTACTCTGCATTTAAGTTAAATACGCACAGTGACAGTATACAGCCCTGACGTACACCTTTTCCTATTTGGAACCAGTCTGTTGTTCCATGTGCAGTTCTAACTGTTGCTTCCTGACCTGCATACAGGTTTCTCTTTCAGAATTTTCCACAGTTTGTGGTGATCCATGCAGTCAAAGGCTTCGGCATAGTCAATAAAGCAGGAATAGATGTTTTTCTGGAACTCTCTTGGTTTTTCGATGATCCAGCGGATGTTGGCAATTTGATCTCTGGTTCCTCTGCCTTTTCTAAAACCAGCTTGAACATCTGGAAGTTCATGGTTCACGTATTGCTGAAGCCTGGCTTGGAGAATTTTGAGCATTACTTTGCTACCTGAGATGAGTGCAATTGTGTGGAAGAGAAGCAAAAAGCAAAGGAGAAAAAGAAAGATATACCCATTTGAATGCAGAGTTCCAAAGAATAGCAAGTAGAGATAAAAGCCTTCTTCAGTGGTCAGTGGAAAGAAATAGAGGAAAACAATAGAATGGGAAAGACTAGAGATCTCTTCAAGAAAATTAGAGATACCAAGGGAACATTTCATGCAAAGATGGACTCAATAAAGGACAGAAATGGTATGGACCTAACAGAAGCAGAAGATATTAAGAAGAGGTGGCAAGAATACACAGAAGAACTATACAGAAAAGATCTTCATGACCCAGATAATCATGATGGTGTGATCACTCACCTAGAGCCAGACTTTCTGGAATGTGAAGTCAAGTGGGCCTTAGGCAGCATCACTACGAACAAAGCTAGTGGAGGTGATAGAGTTCCAGTTGAGCTATTTCAAATCTTAAAAGACGATGCTGTGAAAGTGCTGCACTCAATATGCCTGCAAATTCAGAAAACGCAGCAGTGGCCACAGGACTGGAAAAGGTCAGTTTTCATTCCCATCCCTAAAAAAGGCTACAGTCCATGGGGTTACAAAGAATCGGACACAACTGAGTAGCAAAGCACAGATACTGCATGGCATCATCATCATCTCTCGCAACGTGGAAAGAGACCAGGGTCAACAGTCTTTTCTGACTTTGTGTGAAAGGTCCAAGTAATCTTTTTTACTAGTAAGATGAAGTAGAATATTATAGAATTTAAGAAATGTATGTATTTATTAGTAAAGGTATCAGCCATTTTAGCTCTCATTTACAGTGGTCCCCAACCTCCTTGGCACCAGGATCAGGTTTTGTGGCAGACAGTTTTTCCATGGACCAGGGGTGGTGGCGGATGGTTTCAGGATGATTCAAGTGCATTACGTTTATTGTGCACTTTATTTCTATTATTATTATTACATCAGGTCCACTTCAGATCATCAGGCATTAGATCCTGGAGGTTTGGGACCCCTGCTTTAAAAACAGGTTTCTACCCCAGAAGTTCTGTATCTGGCTGGTTTCTTTTTATTTACAGAAACTTGAGCTATTGACGTATCCCCAAGTAGAGAGAGGCCTGGGGCAATTGTGAAGAGTCAGAGCTAGAT